TGTTGCCTCCTCCCTCCCTCCTCTGGATCCGAAGAAGAGGGGGTGGTGTGGGGGGGGGAGGGGATTGAGTGGGTGGGGGGGGGGGGGGGGGGTGGGGGGGGGGGGGGGGGGTGAAGGTGCCGATAGGAGGGGCGCGGGCGCCCCGGGGGGGGGGGGGTGCTGCGGAGGGAGGCCCAGAGTAGGCTACGCATGAGTTGAGGAAGACCTGGGAGGACTGGCAAAGACTGCAGGCAGAAGTGACTTACTGGAGCAACTTGCAACCTTCCCTGCCGGCTTCCCCATTGACTTTGCTTGTTGGAAGCCAGCAGGGAAGGTCACAAATGATGATCACATCACTGCAGCTTCCTATGATGTCATAATTGCGAGTCAGGAACCCAAGTGCCTGGATCACAATCATGTGACCATAGGGGTGCTGCAACGGCTGGAACTCTGGGGACCAGTTGTATGTCCATTGTTTCAGCGCTGCCATAACGTTTGACTGTCACTGAACGAATGGAAGCAAGCTGAAAACTACCTGTAATATAAGGAGAACCATTTGCTATGGTTGACCAACTGCAAGGACCCAGCTGACACTTATAACTCACTTCTGCAACTGAAAAATGTGTTCTACAAATTTAAACAAGATTGTAATAATGGCTTTACAGAACTGTTTCTAGATCATGGCTTGGAGGGGAAGGTGTTGAGAAACCTGAATGCACTATATATTAAATTATTACTCTGACACAGCGATTACATTTTTTACTAGCCCAATTATAAAACTGACATCCCACCTAGTCATAATTACTGCTGGTTGCTGGGTTTGATAGCACTTCTCTTGAACTGCTCTGCAACTGTTCACAACACAGACATAACTACACATTAATCCTTTACTATACCAACTATACTTATTTCTAATTATTTGGTAACACCAACACATTTAATTCAATTACAGCCACTACGTCCTGTCTCACTGCTGAGGACAGTAAAATCATTTTCCCAGTCGGTTTCCTATAAAGTGAACCATTAAGCAACAGCTGCACTCTAGCAGGAATTTTCACTGACACACAGAAGTGCTATGTGAATTCTTAAGGTTACTTGATTTTAAAAATGGTGATCACTTTCTCCTGAATCATCACAGAACATATTCTTTTTTTTAATGGGATGCTGCATATAAATGTTTTAAATAAGCAAAAATAAAACAAACACATTCCTCAGCAATGGGGAATAGGGAAGAGAAGCTGCTGAGACAGAGGACATTTTGATTTAATATGGGGATGTCTGACCATCCATGACCACTTTTCGACCCATCTCTCCAACTTTTCAGGAAACGTTTTAGTGATATAAATGGCTACAGGGAGGAGGAGGAAAAATTTATTCAAAGAACTGCCTGAAGTTATTTTATCTTAGGGTCCAAGCCAACATCTCTCTTCAGACTTCATACTTTCATTTGCAAATCGTTAAGCATGGGAGAATTAGTGATGCAGACCAAATATGTGAATTGGGCCCCAGGAAGACAAAGCAAGAGGAAGGATGCTGGGTGAACAGACCAAAACAACACTATAGCTGAGGCCAGCTAAACAACCTCTAGCATGGCTATTTCTGCCTTCTGGACTTCAGGAAATACGTCATAATTTCTGCAATTCCCAAACAGTAAGCTATTTACCCAGAAAAATGAAAACTGCATTCCAAATGCCCAAGCTCAGATTTACTGTCTTCTTAAGACATAAATTATTGTAGACTCAGGGATTCAACTAACACAAATCAGAAAGTCTTACCACTGTCAGCCAATACATCTGAGGCACCAGGAGCAACAGAGGAGCATATGGACAGAGGATATATGTCAGGGTTTGTCAGCTCACCAGAGTTTGATATAGGGCTGGCTTTTCTTTTCTTTTCTAAAAATTATTATTTCCAGTTAGTGAATTAAAAAAAGCTACAAAGACTGTTTTCTGCTTTCCAATTTCATTTTGCGTAGACTAATAAAATGCTGGAAAGGTCAGCATTCAGTAAAAAAAAAAAAGGGCTAATAAAGGACAGAAATGAAGAAAACCTGGCTCAAAAGAGCAGTAATTCTTTTCTATTTACATTATTCTATTTACATTATTTCATCTCCAACGGTGCTTTACTTACCAGCTTGAAGGTTAATGTTTTCAAGGCCCTGGGGTCATCTACTATTTTTTGTAAATTAGCAGCAACTGGGGAAAACAAAGCATGAAAAGCATTGAGTACACCAAAAGTGACGTGGTATTTAGTTAATAAATAGAAGGCATCTACTTATGAGGAGCAGGAGGAGGCATTTTTTCATGAGACACTTATAAAAGGAAGCAACCCAAATGGGATTAATTCCATGATTGGTGACATGCCAAATGGCACTAACCGTGGGAAGCATTCAGCCCGAAGTCCAGGGTAACATTATTTTTCCTTCCTAGAGTGAAAAAACACTGCATTTTTTCTAGAGTAGCTTCTTCGGGGTCACTCTTGCTGGGATCCATGAGTAGAAAGTTGAGAAATAGTATATATGTATTGTATCTTTTATTAATTTTACATTTATATTCACTCTAAAGGATCACTGACAACCTAATAGGTAATTTTACTATGCATAATCCATTAGCTAAATATATTATTTACTGCCTGCATGAATAGGCTAGAAATGAACAACCAAGCCAAAAGATCAACATCCTCTGTATGCACATAAGATCAGGAATATTGAATATGGCCTAATTTTCATTGTAAGTGCTGGAAATGGAAGAACTTCGAATAATTTAGATGTAACCTGTTCTTTATAAGGAAATATATAAATATATATATATAGTCAGCTGACACTCTCGGGATGTGGTAGGACTGGGCTGCTGTTGCTACCAGGACCTCCAGAATGAGGAATCTCGTACACAAAATAACAGAAGATCCTTCAGGTTCTATTCTGTCCTTCCTGCTTTTGATCACCGAGCCAATGGGTGAGCTCATTGGGGGATTGGAGGCAAGGTGCTACCACAATCTTGAGGACAGTGAGAATGCCTCCTCTGAATCAATTTCCTTGTGGTGATTTTATGGACACATCCATGTAGGTTTTTTGGCAACTGAAGAAGGTAATGGCTACAGTATCAAAGTCATTTGCCATTACCTTCCTCTGGAATGATTCTTGATGTCTCAGTTTAATCAATAGCACAGGGATGTCCATGTAAAAACCAGGTCCAACCCTGCTTAGCTTCAAAGCCCAGGCTCCTTGTCATTGGCCATGTAGGCATTGAATCGGTGCTTGGAAGTGTAACTGAAGCTGTATAATTACGCTGAAATGCTTTGAACAGCTGGTTCTCATTCTCAGAATGGATACAATGGGATGGAATTTTACTCCCCCAAGGGCAAACCCCCCCAGTCCAAGGGTATTCCTGGAATTAGTTTTATCAGCAAAAGCCCAAGTGGCTTCACTGACAGAAAATGCTTTTGCTGGTGCTCCAATTCCAGGTATGCCTGGACAGTGACAGCCTAACCACAATGCCTCATGGTCTGGTAATCTCTCATTAGGATTATAAGAAGTTAAAGGATAGGCAGCATTCTGATAGCTGCATTTTGAACTATTTGTTTCCATGCTAGTTCAAGATGCTGGTGTTGACTTGTAAAGTCCTAAATTACTTTTAGGACCAAATATCAGAAGAAACATATTTCCCTATCCAAGCTAGTCTGCCGATCAGTTTAAACCTGGGGCAGCAAATAGGCCCACCTCACTGTTTGTTATTGATATTTCATTGTCTGGCTAAGAACTAGAATTCCCAGGAGCATTTGCAAATGAGTTCACGATAGCCCTAACAAATGTGATAGACCCTTCCATTTGATTACTACAATATAGATGTTTTAACAAATGTTTTGAGTTATTTTATATTGTTGTTTTCCTTCTTGGGATATTTTTATAGGCTTCTACTACTGCTAGGTAAATAATGAATCCTGATGTGAAATTTCAGAGAAATCATCTAATCACCCCCCCCCCCCATCACAAAAAA